AATTAAAAACAAAAATTTAAGAAAAAAGTTTCTATAAAGCGATTTTTAATCATTGCTTAAGAATTTTTTTCTTTAGTGGTAACTGGTTACTTCTCAATCTAGGCCGTAGTAGATACAAAAGTACAGATTTTGAAAGATCTGGAAAAGCGAATTAAAAAAAAACACGATTATATGGAAACTACTGGCTCAATCGTGTTTAAACAAAACGTATCAGGTGTAAGTATGGAACTTCCATAGGGATTTCAAATGAAAAAATCTTAAAAGAAAATTAACTAAGTTACCAAACTTTTAGCCTAAAACTATTATAAACTATTGAAGAAATCAGATAAAAAAAAAGAGTGGTTTGAGAGTTCTTGTATGATTATATTAATAAAATTTTGATATTAGTAAAAGCATAATTCAATAAAACAACAAAATAAAAAAAGATTATAATTTAAAAACAATTTAAACTTCTTTATTTTGATCACTCTTTTCTCTTTTGTTAAAGAAATAGCACCTTCATTCTTCCTTTATTTAAGTTCTTCGTAATTTTTTTATTTTTTTGATTTTACATATAGATATCTTATGATATTTATTTAACATAAATAATTATTCATTAAATTATTTAAGCTTATATAGAAATGGTAGGATAAATATCTTTAGGCGTTTTTGTCCTTCTGGTCAAAAGAATAACCTGTAAAAAATTAAATAATAAGAAACACGCAGCAACTTTAGATAATTTGAAAATATTACAACGTTTCAATCAAAATCATACTAAAACTTACAATTAAATTCTTTTCCCATTTTAGAACAATACTTAGTTTAAGATGGTTATTTATATTTTTAGAAACAAATAAAGCTGCCAATATTTTTAATACTAGATTAAATTAGAAAACTAAGTTTATTATAATTTCCTATTTGTGTTAGTCAGCAATGACTCGTTGTTAATAATTCAATATTTTCTAGTTCAACTGCAAAAACATTTGTTTACATTTGATGACAATTTATTTACATCATCAATTTGACGTCATCTTTGCATTGTCTTCTTTATGGTCATTAATGTTTTGTTTTGTAACTGTTTTAATCTGAGTATTAATTTAAGGCTGATGACGGTTTGACCTATTAAAGTCAAATTACAGTACACTGCTAGTATTTATGTTTTGCATAATTGAACCCATCATTTTGAAAATGACATAAATCTATTAATAAAAACTTTTCGGGATCAATCAAAATATGTTTTTTATAAAAAAAAACGTTTATTGTTCTAAAGAAACAAAACAAAACATAGGAGTAAATGAATAAAAAACATTTAGTTTTTGTTTTATTGGTTATGAAAAAAAACACCAACAAAAACATGTATTGTGCAGATTTTAAATGAAATTTTAAAAGAGTTTATTGATAAATTACTAAATAACAAACTTCTTTATGGGTTATATAATGCATAACAAATACGTAATAAAAAAACAATTTAAAAATATTGTACTTTTATCATGGATTCCTGGTATTAGCTCAGTTATTTTTAACTGTTTTTTAATTAATTATATATTAAGGTGAGTTTCCACTCATCCGTTTTTCTACGGGAACGGGATAGGAAAGGGAAAAATAATCACTTGAGCATGCGCAGTTTTACTTCGGACATATTAAAACTTATAATACGCATGCCCACGTGATTATTTTTCCCTTCCCTTTCCCGTTCCTGTGAAAAAACGGATGAGTGGAAACTCACCTTTATACTTGAATCAAGGGTGTCTATATTCCCGTGAAATAGTAAATAAAATCATTTACAAATAAAAATTTAAATCCATAAAAGAAATGTTTTTATTTTATTTTATACCATACAAATACAATAACCTCATAAAATAATAATTTTTTTATATTTTTATAGATTCTGTGGGTTAATTACAAAAAATGTTAGAATAAACAAATGGAAACCAGAAGAACCATAGTTTTTTTTGCATCAAAATGCCCTTTACTGTACAAAAAATTACTTAAAATTGAAAAATAATTATTACAATAATCACCAGATATAATAATCTTTTAACATTCAAAAGATATGACCATAAAAATTTTTTAACCCTCTCAATTTAAGGAGAATTTATACTTTGTATGGTCATAAATTTTGAACGCTGATAGATTATACTATGAAACTTAAAATTTATCGATGAATATAACTTTAGTTGAGAATAGAAAGAAAAAAATATATATCAATTTGACACTCTCACGTTTGGAGCAGTTGTGGCCATAATTTTAGGTTTTTTTTTGTACCCAGGCTTCAATAATCGAATTTTATTGCGAAGCATCTTTTTTTGACACAACTTTAACCATACATATACTTTGAGTTTGTTTCATGGCGGAAGTCAGTTATCTAATATAAAAAGGGGCAAAAAATGCAAATCAATTGAAGAGAACGGATGCATTATTTATAGATGTAGTATAAATTAAGATAAGAACTTGTAAAAGTTGTTGATCCTTTACGCTGCCACATTGTGGAAAAAGTATAATTATTGAAGGCGTTCAAAGACAGTGTATAGTAGTAGTGAAAAATAATAACCAAAATTATGAATAGCATTTGGAAATATTTAAAAACATGAAATAACTTTGATACTCTAAAGTTAGCAGCCAAAGTTTGAGACTGGAAAGCTTGGTTGGTTAAAGTGTTAAACGTTGCGTTAAAACCTCGACATTTTGAGTATCGGTTAGTACTCAAAATGTTTGTTAATAACAAAAAATTGCAAATTTTACCACTATAGTTGGAGAATCAAGATATAAAGAGATTTCATGACTCCACTTACTTTATTGTAAATGTCAGATTTTCTTTTAAGTTGAGACGTTTTTGTGATACCCATCAACAAATTGTCAGGCCATTCATTTAATTGCGTTTAGATTTTATTGTCTGAACCTGACTTCACACATAACCAACTAAACGTTTTTGTTTGATATTTTACCCTATTTAGGGTAAAATATTAGACAAAAACGTATAGTTGGCTATATGTGAAGTCAGGTTACTTAGCTAAGTAATCACAAGGTTAAAGCAAAGTATGGCTTCTTCATCTTCTATTTTTAGTTAAATGTTTAATGTTAACTCGTTCAAAAATGCAAATACATGAAAAGTGATGTAAACAAAATAATCACACAGGGTTTAATTTCAAACGGAAATGCCAATTTATTTGCTTATACAAAAAAAAGAAGCTTGATTTTATTGGTTTTTAAGTACTAACATAAGATACATAACAATATTACCGTCTTATGTTCTAGTTTTTTACGTACTTTATGCCGTTTGGTAAAATGGATTAAAATCTATCAAAACTGCACAAACAAAGTGGAGTCGTCACAGATAATGCAATAATAGTTACACATAGAACGATAATTTTCAAATTTTTATTGTATCGGTTGCATCATGGAACTGCCATTAATCAACCAGAAAAAACAAGATATAAGAACCTAATCTCAGCCAGAAAAATGGAAAAAAAAATCGGAAACTACTTTTCAAACGGATGCGGAGCAACTTTTTTTGAAATGACGAAGAAAACAAGCAAAAGTTAACAAAATATTATGATCATGGATGTTGCATCAAAAGTTTATGCATCTCTGATCGTTTACGTCAGATGATCATCATCGGACACTCTCTGATCATTTATGTCTATACCACACACTATAATTTCTATTTGTACAAATAGGCTGCTAAAGAAAAAACAACAACAACAAAAAATAAAAGCAAAAAAAACGACAGCACATTTTTAAAGATATAGAGAATAAAAAAATAAATTACGAACTTCAATATTGCATATGCGACTATTAAATCGCACATGTTATTAAATCACATATATAAAGTATGTGAATTTACATCCTTCAAAAATTTTGAGAATGTAATAAAAAGATTTTTGCAGAAGATAAATCCCTAAAACAAGTATTTTTGCAACGATTGCAACAACCAGCAGTATTTTATACAATAATTTATTTATCTAAATTCTATTTCTCAAAAATGTATGACATTTGCATACTATAATTCATTATAAATTTAAAGTCATAACAGAAATATTGTTTTCATTTACTTTTTTTACTTTTTAACGAGGTGCTGAGTATTCAAAAGAGTTAATGCGTTTAAAAAAAATGAAGGAAATTCACTTTCTTATTGATTAGCAAATTATGCAAGTTTTTAAACTAAGAAAGATATAGTAATTAACAACCCACCAAATATTTTTGTGGTGGATTAGCAGTGGACCTATATAAGCATTTTGAGCGGTTCACCAGAGTTTTGCTCACCAGTTACTGTGTAGATCATTAGCGGCATCTGTCATAAGTAGCCCGAGGAAAAATTTCTAGTATATAATATGACTAGTCATCGGCTAGCCATTTTTGGCAGTTGTCACAAGTAGTCCACTGAGTAACCGATGAGCAAAACTACTGAGAACTTTTCGAAATGCCTATATAGCTCCACTGAAATTCGGCTATAGAATGTTTGCTGCAAAGCTGGAATTGTGGAGATCATATAATAGATTCTTTATCAAAATAAGTAAAACATTTATAGACCAAATATTTAGAGAAGACCACGAAATAATTCTTATATTGTAATCGAAGTTGATTAGGCTTTCTTTTCAAACCTCTATTCTGACGTTGAGCGTCCTTTAAATCCACCGACTCGGGTATATACAGCAATATATACTGCGATATAATAAAATAACTAAAGTATTGCATATATTTACTATTTTGCGATTTTAAACAAATAATATTTTGACAGTTAACTAAATGACCAAATATTTTTAATCGACATTTTACAAACTCTTTCCTACTTTTCTTTACCTAACTTAAATACTTTTTAAAAAAATCATAATACAACTCTATACTTTTTAGTTTTATTAAAAATTTTTCCTCAAAACGTAAAACAACTTTTACTCGTCCTGTCAGAGAAAAAAACGTTTTTTAAATTTTATATTACTCAACCGGCTAGTAGAGCGCAATTCTGCGACAATTTTGCACTTAAATTACTCTTGTTTGTTGATTTTGTTATTTAATTTCTCTCTCATCCAAACTTCTTGGACTTGCGACCATTAATTTAAAAGACTAAAAAGTCTTTAGCTTCAAGCTATTTCATTAGAATTTGACTAATAAAAAAATCAAAGGTAGTTAAGTTCATAAAATGGCTGATGCAAAAATAGACACAAGTCGCCTTGATGCTAAACCACAAAGTATCAGCGATGCATATGCAGTACCAGCTAATTTTTTAGAAATTGATATAACGAATCCACAAACACACGGTGTCGGAAAGAAAAGATATTCAGACTATGAAGTTCGTATGAAGGTTTGTTTGTAAAAATTTTAACATAAGCTGTTTTTAAGCATATTTATTTTATACTCTAACTTCTAAGTTTCTATTTGTTGCTCTTGCTATTTTTTTATTTTTTTTTATTTTTTTTTGAGTTAGTTTAATTAAGCAAAATTATTGAGCAAAAAGATGTCAATGTGCACTAATTAGTGCACATTGACATCTTTTTGCTCAATCAATTTGTTTTTTAAAAGTTTTTCTTCGTGTTATGATTAACTTTAAAATGATGCTTTTGTTTAAATATTTTACTAAAACGAATATTGCTTTTTTATTCGATGAACAGCAAATGTTTGAAAAACTCAGAATTACAATGACACACACACAAACACACCTACAAACACACAAACATACACAATGTTTTTATATTTTATCTGAAAATTTTAACTTCAAAGATTGTAGTAATAAGAAAGAGTCATTAGTTATTATTTTACAAAGTATAAGTTATTTCCTCAATACATATCATGAGTATAAATCAATACATCAGTACTTATGTTAGGACTAATAAATTATAGTTAATCATAGTTATAGTTAGTTGTACTTATTTAAAGTAATACAAGTATAACTCAATAATTTATATATTTTTATAACAAGAGATTTTTTATTATAATTTATGTGTAAATGAACCTTATTTTTAAGTCACAAAAAACAGTTCATATTTTTAGTATGTATCATATATTTATTAATTCAATAGTTGAGTTTTTGTAGAAGTCTTCTAATGGCTTTACTACTATTATGTAGTTCAGTTTACATTAATTTAATACATTTGTTCTTTTTTGCATCAACAATATCAATCTCATTCTTGTGTCTAAAAAAATGATAAACAAAGTTTTTATGGCTATATGGTTTTATACTTGAATATGTATAATATTTGTATTATTAGCAATGGAGCCACTTTAGAGGTTGTCAGGAAAATCATTATTAAAGATGGTTATTAAGGTCAGAATATACACCAGAATATCTAGGGACTCACATTCCTCAACATAATAATAGCATTAAACTAAATTCAGTATTATGCAAAGGAATTAAGTTGTATAATAGTTTGCCACCTTTGAAGAAGTGTTTTAAGAAAAGGAAATTCAAAATGGAAGTTGTAAAAAATATATAAAAAATTGTATATAGTATACTTGATAAATAATATAGTAATATACTTAATGATTTTAAATTGCTAACCTAAAAAAAAAAAAAAAATAATGAATGAAGATTTGTGGTACTTGAAGCGGTACTAAAAATGAAGCAGAAAGGATAAGTTTTTTATTTATTATTGCAGCATTTGACAGGAATGGCGTGCAAGTTTTTATTTTACGCGAAGGTTTTAATTAATTATATTTTCACTGTTTTTAATAAAATCCTGATTCAATTTTAATAATATTGAAAAGGCAAGCTTTGACTAAAACAAAAAAGTTATTTTTTCTTGGTATGCATTTATTCCTTTGTTTAATTAATAAATTTAGCCCAAACGTTTTTTTTTTTAACTTTCTTTTTAATATGAACATATCATGTCTCAGATGTTTGGGATACCTTTAAAGAATTTTACATAACTTTAATAAAACATTTCAAAAGATAAGTTTTAAAGTAATTTTCTTCAAATACAATTTAAAATGTAACTTAAATGTAATTTAAAAGTAGTTTTCATTTCTAGTTGATATTGTGAGTTTTATTTTAAAGCTTATATATTTTCTTTTTCTTAAGGAATTGTTTTTATTTTTCTTTAGTTTTTTAATTTTTTTTTTCCTAGTTTAAGTTAATCTTAGCATTTTTTTTTTTATTTCTGAAATGTTCAAATCATAAAAACATCTAAACAGTCAATGATTAAGTTGTCAACAAAAAAAATCATTTGCGCTGTCAGTAATAGTGTTTTGTGTTTTCAGTGATAGCGTTGTCAGTAATATTGTTTGATCCCACACCATTCCTGTCCAAGTCTGTTATGGTTAACAAATCATTAGTCGAATGGAGGGATTGAAATTTATATTCATTGTTAAGGGAGTTGTTGGACTCAAGATGAGATATTAGAATTTTTTTCTATTAAAGACTCATAGATTTAGCTAATAGTAGTAGGAAGACTGATTGGACAATAGTTAGCAGGGTCTTAGTGATCTCCAGAAAAGATATAATGATTAAGATGTCTAATAATGTATCAACTTATTATCTGGGATGTCAAGATAAATTGTGGTCATTAGATTAATTTTTTTTTTACTTGTTTTGAGAATTGTTTATATTTAACTGTTTGTCATCAAATATTTTGATGAATATAATTTAAAACTCGTTCATTGTGATCAACATACTAAAAAATAACGTTTATGCTATTGCAAATCAATCAAACTATTACTCAGGTTTATGTATAAATGCAGTATTTAGTTGTGACAAATACTTTTGCAAAAAAAAAAAAAGAAGGTTTAGTACATTAAATAAATGGTGTTTTGAAAATTAACTGCAAAGTTATTAGAGAAGAAAGAATTGAATATGTTAATTTCATTTTAATTTTCTGCATTCATTGTTTTTTTGTTTATTAAAATACAAGTAGTTTACTTAGCTTATTATTGTTCCAAAGTTTAATTTATTTTTAAAGAAAAAAATGTAAAGCACTCTTAATCATCTTTATTTTTGTTTGAGTTTGCATAAGTTTGTATAAATGTTTTGCAATTAAAAAGATTTTATTTTGGGGTTGAATAATTGAGAAAGGGATTTTAATAAATAATTATTTAAAAAAGATAAAAAAGAACCTTTTTTTTAATATTGTTCTTTTCTCTTCATTGTTACCATGTTATTCTAGCTTTATCTTTCTTAAAAGGCTTAAAAGTCATAATTTTATGCCACAGGTAACTATAATAGTTGATAATATTTAGTTATGCAACAATAATATAGTATCAATTAGTATTAATACTATTTGGTAGTCGTAACTTTTATTAATAAGTAAATTGTACTGACTAAGTTGTTACTAGTTAATAAAGTGTTAATGTGTCTTTCTTTCTTAATTTTATTGAAGTACAATTGCTAAGCAAATTAATTATACAAATGCTGTTAAGTTTTGCTTTCTTATCACCATATTTGAAGGATAGCAAAGTTTTACCATAAGTATACAACCCTCGGAATTAGAAAAAATGAGGTCGACATTAATTTGCCGACCACAATCTTTTAGAGGTCGGCATCAGGTCACCAAAAAAAATTTGATACAAAGGTCTTACCATAAAACATAGAAACAAGGTTGGCATTTTTTTGCTGACCTCAAACAAATTAAGGTCGGCAGTAAGGTCGGCATTGCCAAATGCTGACCCTAATTCCGAGGGTTGAGTATAGTTATCTCAATAACCCAATTAATTACTTTTCATTAATTGAGTTCAGCACTTTTATAACTTGTTTACTTTTTCTTAAATCTAATATATTCAATAGTATTATATGTTGTGTTTTTTGCAAAATACTGTTATACATTTTATTCTTTAGACAAATATTCCTATTTTTAAACAAAAAGAATCTTCAGTAAGAAGGAGGTATAGCGATTTTGAATGGTTAAGAACAGAACTTGAGAGAGACAGCAAGGTAAATTCAAAAAATAGTATATAAATTTTTTAAATAGTTTTAAAAACTAGGTGTTGTTTACTTATGTATATTTTGATTTTGTCTTATGTAAATTATTACGTCTCAGAGATTCTGGGATCCCAGAACAAAAACTAGTCACAGATTTCTTTACTGTGCCTAAAAATTTACAAGTTAAAGAAAACATTTGTCAATGACACAATAGGTATTTTATTTAAAACTCTTTATGTATTTAAATATATGTACTTATTTGTAATTTTTTTGACATTAAATTTTTGTAAAATGTATTTAAAATGTATAAATAATTGTTTCAATTTGACTAAACAATTAGGATATTAGAAATTATAAAAAATTAACTAAAATGCCAAACTTTTTTACTAAACTTAAATATTTTAACTTTTTAAACTAATTTTATAATGGTTATTATATTAAGTATTATAAAATATATAAAAAATAATAATATAAATAATTAGGTTTGATATGAACTTTATTGTCTTCTTTTGCTTATCTAAAGTTTTTTAAATAAATAGAGTTTTTAATAATTTAACCTTAATATTGAAATGTTATTGACTAATTGTTATATGCTATTTGATTCTGATGTGTCCTTAACTGTGAAAAACATTTAATTTAAAAAAAGAATCCATGTAAGCTGGTATTTTGCTTTGTTTCATTAGTTACGGATCCTGATACTGTAACTCTAACAAAAAAAAAAAATTTAGAATTCCAGTCTATAACAAATGTTTTTTGTTTCTTGGACAGGTATTACTTATATATCATTTCACTTTTAAAGTGATTTCCAATTATAAGCTGTTTGAATGACTCTATTTTAAATTTTGCATTTTTTTGTTTTGATGTCACTGTTAAAAGTGGTCACTGCATTTTTGGTAAAAGGCCAAATTCAAATGTAAAAAATAAACAAGTTGACATAATTTATGTTATAAATAGTAAAAGTGTCATTGATTATATGATAATTTTATGATATTTTCTATAACAAGAGTTCAACCCCCATTTAAAAACAAAATCTTGGTTGGTGTGAGTTAAGAGAAATTTGTTAAGCTATACTCCTAAAGTGTCACTGTATGCTTTTCTAACTATGACTGAGTATTTTCTGCTGTACTCCTAAAGTGTCACTGTATGCTTATCTAACTATGACTGAGTATTTTCTGCTATACTTCTAAAGTGTCACTGTATGCTAGTCTGACTATGGCTGAGTATTTTCTGCTATACTCCTAAAGTGTCACTGTATGCTTGTCTAACTATGGCTGAGTATTTTCAGTATAGTTAAAGTACCGCTGTTTAGTAAGAGAGTTTCAAATGAAGATTCATAGTCTCTGTAGATAATTCTGTCTCATGGATTCGATTTATGCGCTCATTTATTTTCTTACTGCCAAACATCCATATAAGTGGCAGTATGAGAAGTTTGAAGTTATAAATGCAGAGAGTGTAAGTTTACATTGTTTAAAAGACATAAATAATGCGATTCTTAAAAGTGCGTTTACTTTTCTGCTGACATATTTGCTTAAAGTGTTCACATACTCTTCAAAGGAAACATATATGATATGACATATAATATATATATATATATATATATATATATATATATATATATATATATATATATATATATATATATATATATATATATATATATATATATATATATATGTATATATATATATATATATAATATAATATAATATATAATATATAATATATAATATATATATATATATATATATATATATATATATATATATATATATATGTATATATATATATATATATATATATATATATATATATATATATATATATACACACACACATGTATATATCTATCATGTCTAATATAATACATATATAAATATATATATATTATAACTGTTAATGCGACACAATGATCTTGAAACATGTAGTTTATTTATGACTAAAAAATGAACTTTAACATTTATTATTTACAATTTTTATAGATAATATCTTAGATTTAAAATACACTGTATATGAGACACTGTTTCATTTCATAAAATTGAATTGGATTTATATACAAGTTTATAGCTTTATCTAAATTAGTTTTTAAGTAATAAATGGCTCAAAAAAAATTATAATTATAATTAAGAAAATTATTTGCAACGAGAACTGTTTGACAACCAACAACTGTTTGTTTTTCTTTTAATTATCTCTAGCTTTAAATGATATCACCTTCTACTAGATAATGTTATAATGCAAATTTTCCTGTAATTACTTTTCAAATTTAGTATACTTTTAAAACAAGTTGATGTTTTGTATCCTCAATAAATTTTTATATTTCTTATGATTTTTTATTTTTTATTTTTCCCCCATGAATTTATTATTTTTGTATTCTCAGTGAATTCAAAGTTATTTAAAAATGATTAAAATAAGTAATAATAAAAAAAAAATTGAAAAAAAATTTATAAAAATAATAAAAAAAAAATAATAAAAAAATTGATAGAAATAATATGTTTGATAAAAAGTAATAGCAACTAGGTTTTAAGTTTTATTTTTGTTTAACAGGGTTCTTGTACTCCACTCGTTACTTCTTTTGTTTCAGCAGGGTTTCTGTACTTCACTTGTTACTTCTTTTGTTTAACAGGGTTCTTGTACTTTGCTTGTTACTTCTTCTGGTAGATTTTAGATCCATTTAACCTATAAAATTTAAGGAATTATTTTTAACAACATTTGATTTGAATGGTTTTAGATTGTAGTTCCTACATTACCTGGTAAAGCTCTGAAGAAAATGTTACCTTTTCGAGGGGATGATGGTAAACTTTACATATTTACTACATCAACTACTTGCATATTTACTGTTAGATTAATTTTTTGATTTTTATTTATTGTTCATCTTAGGTATATTTGAAGATGAATTTATTGAAGAACGAAGACAAGGTCTTGAGGCATTTATAAATAGGTAGATTTTATTTTTTACAAAGTTGAAATTTTGTACTGCCAAATCAGAATTTAGTTTTAAAAAATGTTTTTTTATATGTAATTGATTTTTGCAATGTTGACTTTTTACATAACCAAGTTAAAGTTTTATGCTAAATATTTTTAATTTAATAATACAATTTTTTTATATATGTTAGAGTTGCTGGACACCCACTAGCCCAAAATGAAAGATGTCTTCATATGTTTCTGCAAGAACCAATAATTGATAAAAACTATGTTCCTGGAAAAGTACGAAATGTATAAAGTTAATGACATTGATTCAAAACAAAAATGAATAAAAAAGAAACAATACAAAGTTTAAAGTATTTTAAAGATTAGATGCCATCTTTTGAAATCATATACTTTTTGAAATGTTTATTTTTTTCTTAACACTTAGTGATTTCATTATTGATATTAACTCAGGTATAATAATTTATTTTCTTCCATCTTTTTAAATTTTTTTTAATATATTGTATATTTTTTTCAAAGTGTGAATAATTTCCTTTAGATGTTAATTTTCCATGATTACTTGTGATCATTCAAAGTTATTATTTTTGAAAATGAAAATTGTAAATTGAATGTCATTTTGAAATATAGCTTCTTTATTTTCATTTCTTGCAGAAATTTATAATTTCTTTATTTTCATCTCTTTTACATTTCTGATCCTTGACTCAAATTTTTGTATTATAAAAAAGCTTGTCATTTTTTTTCTTAAAAGAATTATTTTTTAGAATTATAGTCACATATTTTCATTTGTGTTTTGCAATTATTGTATAAAAACTTTTTTCTGCATTATGTTACTTGTAATAAAATGAAGAGTATTTGATATCCTGCTGTTATTTCTTATATATAGAAGCATTTAAAAATATTTAATACAATGTATGCTGATAAGCTTTTCATTGAATGAGGTCTAATCTTCTATCAATAATAAATATATATATATAAATCTTTTTATGAAATAAATTCCAAGTAGTTTACATAGTTTTGCTAAAAATATTTTCTATAGAAGTTAATAAATTAATTTTCTTTCCATCATCATGCTGGTTCTTTTTTAAATCATTTGTTTTAAACTTTAAAAAAAAAACTTATTAGATAAAGTAGTGGTTGCTGTTTTTTTATGTACTGGTTTTAGTAGTAGTCATTTCTTTTTTTGCATAACACTTTTTCTTTATATATATACAAATATGAATATATATATATATATATATATATATATATATATATATATATATATATATATATATATATATATATATATATATGTATATATATATATATATATGTATATATATATATATATATATATATATATATATATATATATATATATATATATATAGATAGATAGATAGATAGATAGATAGATAGATAGATAGATATAGAAAGAGATTTTTAAACATACATAGCCATACACATATATATATTCATTATATATATTAAATAGTTATATGTGCATAGTGTGGGTGTGCTAAAAAGCATGCACATTGTTTAAGTTATGGCTATGGACATTTCATAATTAGTTTATGATGTATAAGGCTTTTTTTTGTTTAAAAATAAAATGTGTGATATCATTGAACACCCACACTTTTTTTTTGAATAAATAAATTTTTTTGTTTATTTTAACATTAAAAGAGATTATAATGGATAACATGACAGTTTGTTAACATTTTTAATTTAGCTGCTTATGTATGATGTTTTACTAACTGATAGTATACTTTTTGCAATGGTGCTAAAAGTTTTTTGTTATAAATTTTCACATATATATTTTTTTTGGTATATAAATGTGATATATATATATATATATATATATATATATATATATATATATATATATATATATATATATACATATATATATTTAATGGTATACATACATGCATACATACATACATGTATAAATACATACATATTATATTATATATATGTGTGTGTGTATTTATATACACACACACACACACACACACACACACACACACACACACACACATATATATATATATAAATATATATATATATATATATATATATATATATATATATATATATATATATATATATATATATATATATATATATATATATATATATATATATTATTTTCTTTTTTTCTTTTTAAGCTTTGTATATTCAACTGTTAAAGACTATATCTAGTTCTTCTGTATTTATAAAAAAAAGTTTTTATTCATTTTACTGAAAATGTATTTTGCTTATGTCAGTTTCAAATTTTTCTTTTGTTTCTTGGGTTTTTTTGTATTGGCAAAATCCAGAAAATTCTGAAAAGGCCCAAAGGAATTAAGATATTAAAATGTCTTTTATTTTCAAAAAGTTTTCCTTATAAAACAAACATAGTTTGCATAATTAAATTTATTTACAATGTTTAATTTTATATACATTTTTATATTTTTATTGTTTTAATTAGTGTTCTAACTTAATTTTATGACTGACTTTATTATTTTTATTATGTATTTATTTTGATTTTCATATTTTTTTATTTATACATTATTTTTCTTTAGTTGTGTTTGATCATGACAATTATTGATTTTTTTTTTTCATTTCTGATTATCTAAAGGAAACTTAACTTCCTTGAGATTTCACTGAGTTTATAAAAACAAGTGGGTAAAGCTGTTGCATTATGTATTCTTTTGCATTTTATATTTTATTGTTTTTTTCTTATATATACAATTTCAATGCTATTGTAGACTTTGACAATAGTATATTATTAATATTTTAATGCTGATGAAAAAACAAAGTTAAAGTCCCTTCTATCAAAGAATTTTATTAATATAATTTTTATTTCTTATGCAATCTTTCAAGATTATACTGCTAGTTTTTGTTTTTGTTTTGTTTATTACAACATTCTAACATTTTTGTCTATAATTTTTTTCTTGTAAAAATATTTTGGAATATAATTTTTTTTTTTGATGGAGGTTACCTTTTTCTCTATAACAGTATAAGGAAAAAATACTTTTTTTTTTAACTTGTCTGTGCTTAATGCTAACTGTTGTCAAGTAGCAAAAAAGTTATGCAATAGAGTTGGAATCAAGCTGTGATTGGCTGAAAAAAAGTTGAAAATAATCAAAATCCAATTCAACGTAAGAAAAAATATTTTAAAAATCTACTTAAGTTGTATGAAAAGAACTGTAGTAAAAAAGTAAAAACACACTTAATAAAGTTTGCACAAAAAACGTGATGACCTAATGACTTATGTTAATTATTAAGACCTAATACATCAATTCTTCAAAATTATTGAAAAATTAATCAATTTCTTTTGGTAAATTAAAGGGGTGATATTTTTTCATAAGTTGATCAATTTTAGGTATTATATATATATATATATATATATATATATGTTTATATATATATGTTTATATATATATACATATATATATATATATATATATATATATATATATATATATATATATATATATATATATATATATATATATATATACATATATATATATGCATATATGCATATATATATATATATTATATATATATATATATATATATATATATATATATATATATATATATATACATACATTTTTGCTATAAAGTTTGGGAAATATAATAGTACGTGTTTTTTTTTTTTTTAAAACAAAAAAAAAAGAAACTTTTTTGTCTTTAGCTTCAAGATTTTTTAATTTTGTGGCAATTTGAGATTCAAATATTTCTGTGTTTCTTATCAAAGTTCTTATTAAGTGCTTCTTATTAAAACATTTTATGCAGATGAAAGAAGAATGCAGTTTATTTCAAGTTTAAGCTATAAAGGAGTATTTATAAGTGTATATAATTTGTAGTTGAACTGTTTCAAGCTTTATAAATTTATACTTTCTGTGTTCCCTAAAAACAGGATATAATTTTTTAAATCTTGTCATATTTCAACTTAGTGTTTTATATAAAAATGTTGGTTTTACTGAAAAAGTGTACATTTATTACATGTTTATTGTGTTATCTATTAATTTTAATCTTATTTAATAATAAAAAAAAATACGTCTTTTATTTAAACTTAGCATTTCAGAGAAATTTATTTATGTTTATTTTTCAGAAAAAATATCATGGGTTGGTTTGTAAATGAGTTTCCTAAGTATTTTGTAATGGTAAGAGTTTTATTTTAACTGTTTTAATCACGTTTTGTATTGTATCCTATTACTGCGATGACCTGAAAACCATCATAGCAAAAAGATACAATAATGTTATGAATTACTATAATGTTATGAATTAAACAATATAAATAAATATAACATTATAATAAATGAATATAACGAATATAACAATTAATTAATTAAACAATTAACAAATAAAATAAATGAATATAACAATTTAGGATATTTGAAATTATTTTGTTTTAATTTTTCCAGGTGATATGGGTTGGTCTAAACCTGATGCTATTTTTACTGACTTACTTCCAGTATACTGATGGTGAAAAGTATTATTATCTCAGATACATAATAAAAGTAATTTTTAAAATATATTTTATAATTATGTATTTATTTTTGTTGTTTGGTTATGACTGTTGGCATATTTAGTTGTTAGTTAGTATCTTCTAAGGAATCAAGTACTTTTTATTTAGTAATTTTGTATAATGTAATTTAATTTGTATATATAATTTGATACTTTTTATTTGGTTACTGGTAAACTAAGATATTAATATTATTAATATACAATAAACACAATATTATTAATAAAAAGTTCAATAAAAATTCAAAACATGTTTTACTATTATCAGGTTACACAGGCCTTGCGATGAATAAGAACTGCGCGACGCATAAGCACGACGTGATTTTTGACACCATTAAATTCTTTTTATTTGCTTTTCATATTTATCGACATTAACTGCACCAATTTACTTAATTACCGCAAAACTACTTTAAATCATTTATGTAGAAATGTTATTATTTAAAAATGTTTTGGAATGTTTCGTTTTTTAAAATGTAAAAACATTTGTTTATTTTCTCAACGTTTGTCACGTTTTGTCTATACTAAACGAATAAAAAACATAACTTAAATTTAAAAAAGATTATAAAATATGCTAATATTTGATTTTTTTTTTCTTAAATATGTAATTTAAAGTTTTTCAAATAAATATTTTTTCTTTTTAAAAAGTCAGCGAGTAATAAACAGGAAATTTTAATATTGTACGATTAAAAACTGTGCAATAGCTAATATTTTTACAAGCGATTTTATATAATATTTATTTATTTATTTTTATTTATTTTCATAAAGCGGTTGATAAGCACAATCACTCGTATTAATAAAAAACTTAAACGAACGTTTTGAATAGATTTTTAATGTTAACAAGGAATTTTATTTCTACTAAAATAAAATAAAATGTTAGAATAAAAATCTTATAGGTATAAAAGCAATATTTCAGCGAAAAAATTATTCTTAAAAATTATTATAATAAATTTTTCGAAAAACTATTGACGTTTTATTTTTCAGCAGCTGTTCTTGAGCACGCTTCGTTGAGTTTCGGTAACTTTTAACATAAAAGCAATCGTTATTATTTAAGTAATTTTTTTGAGTTACTTTTTACAAAAATTTTAATAACTGTACTTTTTTATTGAATCAAGTAGAATACGTTTTAATATTAATCCTTTTTTTTTTTTTTATTTGCGCTCACCAATTTTTAAAATGTTTCCTCGAAATTACTCTTAAATACTTTAAATACGTCTAACAGTTAATAAATATTTTTAAATCTTTTTTTTTAAAACCTAACAAACCCCCGTAAAATAATTATTTAAGTTTAAAATCTAAAACTAAAAGAAAGTATTTTTGTTCAATTTTATCGACAACTTTGCTTTTGCTGAATAATTTTAATAAAATGTTAGCTTAAAAGATTTAAACTTTTTTTTTAATCTGAATTTTTTCTACTTGTAAATAATGAGCATATTTAATTTTTTTTTAATTCAAACTTTTATTTCAACTGCGTGCGGTTTTTAAAATACTTTATTAAAAGTTAAAATAATCGTAAATTACTTCATTAAAATTCCGCTCAAAAATATCTTTAAATATACTCAAACAAAAATTTTTTTGCTCAACGCAAATAGCCCTAGCTATACGCAAAATCGCTCTTGGACAACGTAAAATTCACATCGCCCAACCCTTTATCGCAAGGCCTGGTTACACTGTTACTTAAAATCACAAAATAAAAATTAACTCATTTTATAAAGAAATTAATTTTTAATGTATCATCTTTTTGAAAATATGCACGCAAATAGCATAAATCATCTACTGTCACTTAGTTGAAATCTTATTTTTGTGGTAGTAAGCCAAGCAGTAGAGAGGTTTTTATTTGATACTTGTTGAGCAAACAACCATCAGATATTATTACATTATAATTTAATGCTATAGTATTATATTTTGAACTCCACTATTAATAATATCTCTGTCATATCTAAACCCGTGATGTCTGGTATTTAAATTTTTAAACAACTGTGGGTAAGCTCAACTTTATCTAATACTTTAAATATTTTCAACATTTGTATCATATCTCCTCTTCGTCTTTTCTTCTTCAGAGTTGTTGAATTGGAATTTGAAGTTGAAGGGAATTGATCTAAAAGACACAAATTTCATCCAGAATTCCGGTACATCCCTCTTGAAGACTAAAATAGTGCAGCAAATTCAATATGCAGTCGCACAAATACTTTGTATAGTAGCTTAAGAATGTGTTTATTGTGATGTGCAAAAGTTTTGTTTTATTGACCCAAAATTAAATTTGCTTTTGATAATGTTATAATCTGTTGTTTCCACTTAAGACGTAAATTTTACTCCCAAATCCGTCTCTATAATAGTCGTTTTAAGTTTATTAGGTAAGAATGATTCTTTTTGTTCCATAATGGATCACAAGACATTTTGCAATATCAAAGGAAAGTAACTATTTTTTTGACCAAACGACAGCTTCATCCAAATCAGCTTGAAAATTTTCTACTTTTTTTGTATTTTTAACTGTTGGTAATATTTTTGTATCATCAGCATAAAATTTTGTATTCTGAGGGGAATCAGGCAAATCATTAATAAGTATCAAAAATAATAATGGTCCAAGCACGGATTCTTGAGGCATGCCATTCAAAACCTTTGTCCACATAGATACAACATCAGCTATTTTGAATCTTTGTTGTCTATTACTTTTAAACCCTTTAATTCACTCAAAAACTTTTTCACATACACCATACACCATATGCAATTAATTGTCTATGAAGTCAAATGTTTTAGCAAAATCAAAATAAATAAGATCAACTTTATTATAAGCTAAAGAATGCGAAATGAAATCAACTGTTCCAAGAAGATTTTTTGTACATAATTTTGATTTTACAAACCCATGCTAATTCACAGAAATGAAATTATTACTATATAATGATTTCTCAAAGGATATTTTAACTAAATCCTCTAAAAGTTTACACATGATCGAAGTTAGAAAGAATGGTCTGCAATTTGATGCTAACAGCTTGTCACTTTTCTTAAACAATGGTGTTATATATGCATATCGTAATTGCAATGGTAATATTTGGGTATTTATAGAAGTTGGAAAAATCAAAGTTAGTGGAAAAGCCAATGAGTCCGAGCAATATTTATAAAGTTTTGGATGAACAAGATCCCATTGATTTATCACATTTTATGTTCTGTAGTTTTAACTTAACACTTTCAACAATAGTAGTAGAAAAATCAATGTGACCATTAAATCAACAGAGAAAATCAGGTTGCAGTTCCTCATTTTCATTTATGAAAGCATCGTAAAATTTGTTGTTCAGTATATCAGCTATTAAAATTGGATTATTAAAAATGCAACCATTAATATTTTTAATTGCTTTCATACAATTCATACAATTATACAATTTTTTACAGTTCTTTGATTATTGATGTAGTTATAAATAAGTTAATATTTTTTTGCTGATTTGTGAACTAGATTTATTTCATATTGTTTTCTGGCTTTTAAAATTTCATAATTAACTTGTTTGCATTTTTTCTTTGTACAATTATTTTAATTTTAACTCTCCAATTTGAAGTACATTTTTTATATCTTAAATCTTTCTTCTTTCTTATAAGATTTTTTAAATTACAATTTATTCAAGAAGTTCTTCTTTTTCTTGATTATAAGTCTGTTTTTGGAATGCAATTATTACATGCTTTAGATAAATACAGCAAAAGGGTTAATCTTACATTTTTTGAACTGATATTTTTTTCAAAGCAATTTTTCCAGTCGATTTTATTAATAATTTTTGAAATTGAGTCATAATCTCCTTTACTTTAATCAAAGATATATTTTGGTTTCAATTTAAATTTAAGGCCTCAAATTTTCAAATACTCTTAATCTTTAGAAAAAGGTCTTAGATGCCCTTTTTCTAAATTTCCAAGAATAGCACTTGTTTCTAAACCAAAAATATTTTCATCATTCATAGTAAAAATCAAATCTAAGGTATTATTGTCTTCCTCCTTGCTTATTTGATAGGTAGAAACAGACACATGTTTATAAGTGAGATATAAGTCACTAATCACATGAAATTTATGTTCTATTGTATCATTGCTACTTTCAATAAGTTGTACCTGACCATTTGACCATTGCATATTTGGAAAATTAAAGTCTCCCATTATTATCAAATCAACAAAACCTTTTTCATTGATAAATGAACATGCCATTGTAAAAACTTTCTTCAAATCTTCAATATCTATGTATTTTTTTGGTCTTTATAAAATGGCTGTATAAAATGTTTAAAAGTTTATTATGACATGCAAATAAGTTTCTTTCCTTAAAATATTTTCAATATTTTTCCTGTCTTCTTGTTTTCTTTTTCAGAGTATGAGATTTTTTAAAAAAAAATTTATTGATGCTTTTCTTTCAAGGATATATTAAACCCAGCATTTAGTTTTATAAGTGGCAATGATGCTGAAGGTACATTAACTTTTCTTCTATATCTATATATCAAGATAATCATCATTTGCATGATGATCTTGATTGTTAGAAAAACAAAAAAAACTTAATTATTGTTTTAATATTAAGTTTTAATGTTTTAATAAAATATTTCATAACCGTGTTTTGTAATTGTCCTTTTCTCCAACTTTTCTAATTTTCTTTACAAAAACTCAATATAAATAAATAGTAACTAATAAAAATTCTCCATTTTTTATTCGTTATTATTCCTTTTTTGCTCTTTATATATATATATATATATATATATATATATATATATATATATATATATATATATATATATATATATATATATATATATATATATATATATATATATATATATATATATATATATTTTGGTTTGCAAAATTTTTGTAGTTTTTTTCAATGAGTTTCTTACTAGAATATTGTAGTTTCTTGGGTTTTTTATAATTTTATATAATTTACCGGTAATGCTCGATATTGTAACAGGTAATAAAATTATACATTTTGATTTGGTTTGCCTTTAAATTGGTTTAATATTGCAATCTCTAGTTGCTAACTTTTAAAGGGTGCTAATACTTTTTTATTGTTGGTTGTTAACATTTTGAAAGTGACTTTTTTTAGTTAGTTTTTTTTTTAGGTTATTGGCTCAATTCATTTTATTTTAACCAATGGCCTGTGGAACACCATTTCTTCTTTGCTGATTTTTACATACTATTTTGTGCATTATGTAGATATATTAAATTTAAAATTTCAGACTTCCAAGTGCAACAGTTTATAAATTTAAAAAAAACACATGTTGGAAGATACTCACTTAGTGAATATTTTCTTCCAGCTCAGTGCTTAGAGTTTGTCCATAATTTACGCCACACAATTTAAAACTGTTTTTAACCACTCCCCCTCCCTTGTTATTACATCTTAACTCTTTATTAACAAGTCCTATACGAGTTGTCACAAAACCCCTAATTCCTCGCCACTCCCTAGAGTGTGAAGTACTTTATGGATGACCCTTTACACAAAAGTCACTGAATATTGACATCAATATTAAATTGCTGATTGGGTATTAGTGCATTATTTTATTGAATTTTTCCTGTAAAGATAACAATTTTTAAATGTGATTCTGTTTGTGTCAGCTGTTTACAAAATGCTGGCAATTATTTCAAGTATCCAACACTAGATATTGGTATCCAGTCAGTGATATTATTGCCACCTTAAATGAGCCTGAGCTCAAAAATGGAAAAGTATTTAACTTCTATCTTAAATTAAATTAATGATAATATATTAATTGTTTTTAATTATCAATTAAAAGTAAAACCCAAGCCTAATAATAAGTTTTCTGTAACAAGTTTTGACTTTCTTCTTTTTAGAATCTTAATTTATTTTTATGATAGAATTCTAATAGAATATCCCTTATATAAGTCTTTAAAAAAACTGTTCAGTCTTATTTTGGAAGATATCAAACATTTTTGATTTAAGATATAATACTCCTTAATTGCGTAAATTATGTTTAAAGTATCACATTTCAAATAATAATGAAAGTAAAATAATAAAATCTTAATTGTTACTGCCCCTTTATTTGTACTCACTATAAAGACCAGATCAAGGAGGGCGCAACCAACCATATTTTTCTTTTTGTTAAGAAATGACTTATAGTTGGTTACAGTGCTTATATGGGCCAATAGGTAAATTAGAGGGGGACTGGTTTCTAATTATGTCTTTAACCGTTGATAATTTGAAAAAAAAGTTATTTAAAAACATGTTAAGTTTAAAATGTTTGCAGTTTAAGATAGTTGGGTTCAGGGGCTTTACAAGTTGATAATCTTAGATCAGTAAAAAATGTTAAAAAAATTATTAAGCATCTCAAAATGGCTAAATATTGGACTTTTTAGGTGAAAGGGCAATATGCTTTTAGATATATTTGAATTCTAAACTGCAGAAAAAAAAGTTTTAGAATAAGGAAAGATTTTAATATTTAAGAAAGTAATAAATATAAAAAAACACTCATTATGTGCAATGGTTACCTTAAAGTTGTTACACTATATGAGTGATTTAACAAAGCAACAAACAACTCTAAATATATAATTAAAAACTCTTTTGAGCAATAAATAAATACCTACAAAAAAACTAAAGTTTGACACAAATAAATGTTTTATTGTGCAGCGTAACCAATCTCAGTTTGTTTGTCATTGTAATGGTGACAACCGAATTTCCCTGTTTATGCTATTGTTGGCGTCATAAGCCATTACTTCTAAATTTAAAATTAGATTTTTTTTATATCATTAAATATAAAAAAATCTTTAAAACTTCTTGAAAATCAAATTCCAACAATTAATGACTAAATTTACCTAGAAAATAACTCAACAATTTAACAATAAAACCCAATTTTTCTTTTCTGTTCTCTAATGAAAATTAAATTTATCAAATTATTGTTTTTATTTAATACAAAACCATATCAAAAATCAAGTTTAAAATTTAATAATAAAGTTGCATACTTAGTTCTAACCTTTAGCAAACTAAAAATAAAACAAAAAAACTATAATATAACAGAAAATTGATAATTTGTAATGAAAATAATTTTTACCTGCTTTATTTATCTGGTCCATTATCATCACTAAAAAAAAAAAAAAATATGTAGTCAATAAAATACTTTTTATCATTTCTTAAAAAAGTTATTTTTTGTATTCATGGTTAAAAATTGTTAAAAACCAAAATACAATACCTATAACCTATATATATACCTATACTTATAAATCCTTCTCTTTTTTTTGTTGTTGTTGCTTTAAACAGAATAATTACTTCAATAGACTATAATACATAGCAGATATATTTAAAAAGTATAAAAAAGTTTTATAATTTTGAAAAGTATTATTTTTATTTTCTTCTTGTTTTAACTATAAATAAACTTAATGATGAATTATAATCCTTATAACTAACTTATTATCTCTTACACTTTAGAGTGCTTTCTTGTCTAAATATAAACAAATGTATATACAAAAATGATATACATATTTTATAGTAGACATGATTATATATATATATATATATATATATATATATATATATATATATATATATATATATATATATATATATATATATATATATATATATATATATATATATATATATATATATATATATATATATTTGTGTGTGTGTGTGTGTTCGTGTTTGTTTGTGTGTGTGTGTTATTATTATTGTTATTGTTACTATTATTATTATTATTATTATTATTATTGTTATTATTGTTATTATCATTATTATTACTATTATTAATATTAATTATTTCTTAAATAATTTTGAATTATAATTATTGAAGTATTTTCAAATCAGTGATGTTAATTGTTAAGCCATGTTAAGAATACTTACTTTTTGTTTTCATATAAAACAATATGAGAAAATAACTTAAAAAAATGTACATATAGTCTATACGATCTATATGATTAAACAGGCTTCATTAAAAATTGGTATTTAACAATATAAAGAAAGTTTTATGAAATTCATTTTATAGGATAGAGTAAAGGAGAACTATACAATTTAAAATTCTTTACTTCAGCTTTTGTCAGCAAAAAAGTCACAAATATACTAGATATTGTTATTTTTAAAAAACAACTTGCTAAAATATATAAAGTTGCTTTTTAATGTGACAAGTTTGTATGCTAAAATTTTACTTTAACTTCCATAATAAAACTTTTTTCCAACGAAAATTTCTGTGTTTTAAAATTTATTTTAAAATAAAGAAAATTTCTGTCTAATTTTGTAGAATGGGTACTTTCTGTAGTAACAGAAAATAATTCCGTAAAAATACGGAAACTTTTAACAGTGTACAGTTAACTTCATTTTAACATATTTTAGCAATTTTCAGAGTGAAAAATGAGAGACTTGTTAAAAATGACAAAATAGTTTTAAGGCTCTAAATTAGTCTATTTTGACCATTTGTAAATTAAAGAAGAGGGGGGGGGGGGAACGCACTGCTTAAAAGGCTATAATTTCTAAGCTGTACTTGAAAGTGTGAAATTATTTATGAAATTATAATATGTAAAATCATGATAATCAGAGATAGTGTCTCACAAAGTTTTCTTTAAATTGGTTATATATTGCCATTAAAAAAAATTACATAAATATATATATTTTTTTTACATTCTTATATTTTATATATTTTTATTTTATTAAGGGAGGTCTTCCAGTTGCCAGAGGAGCTGCTGCAATGCTAAATTTTAACTGCATGCTTATTTTGTTACCTGTTTGCAGAAATCTTCTATCATTCGTGAGAGAATTACCTGTAAGAATTTTTGTTTGTTATTTATTAATAAAATCTCATTATATTAATCTATTTCTTTTAGAACTAAATATAGACATAGTGAATAATTTCCTTTGGAACTACTTGTATTTATAGTAAATTACATGTAGATGTAGTGAACCACATGTAGAAAGCCTTTCCAGAAAGCGCCTTGTTTGTTATTGCTTAAAGTATTTTTTTTTTAGACAACATGACCACGTTTTTATTTAGTAAGCGTTTTAAGAATTTGCAGCAAAACAAACCTATGAGAAACTAGAGAGAATAAGACAGCAATACTCGAAGAAAGGAAACAAAGTCTATACAAAATAGAAAATCTAAATGAAATAAGCTAAAAAAAATTGAATATTAAAAAAAGAAAATTGTCAAAAAAATAATATACCTGAATATTTTACTGTTTTTGTTTTCATATTTTTAGGGCGTTTGTTATTTTCACTACCAAAATTGATACAAGTTGAGGAAAAAAGTACATAAGAATATAATGAAAATAAAAATATTTTTTGATATATAATTTTATATCGACTTTTTTCAGTCAGTATATTAAAGAAATGCTTTATAAATTGCGCTAGAAACATGGACAATTTTTAATTTTTTTTTCAAATGTTTTTGCTTTACTGTTTTTATCAATGGACAGGAAATGGAGTAAACTAATTGCTATTTATTTGTAAAAAAGTTTTTTTGTTTTTTTTAATAAAAAAAAGTTTTTTTTATTTTTTCTAACAAGTTTTTCATGTAAAAAAATAAAATGTCATTAATGTTAGTATTTAAATATAAAATATTTGGTTGTTTTCAATAACGCCATTGAAATAGTCTGCACTTTAGTAGGATTATTCAAATTGGGCATTTAAACCCAATAGTTTATTTCCTGATGAACTATTGTTATTGACAATGCTTCAAAATTATGTGGGCTAGTGCATAGTTAATTTACTGAACTTTTTTTAACTAAATGTTTAGGAGCCTATTTAAAACCTTTTTTAAAAAAGTTTCTAAATACATTTTTTTAAACAGAGCAATGGTTATTTATCTCTAGTAATTCGCATTAACATTGGAAATTGGACAATATAAAAAAAACAATTTCAGACATGCATCAAATGCAGTAAATACAACAAAAGAAACCATGTTATTCTTTAATTTAACTTATTCTATCATTACAAAGTTTATTAATCAAATAATATATTTTACAAATAAATAACAATTTATTTTTTTATTTAAATATATATATTTATTTTTTAAATTATATATTATTATTTTTTAAATATAGCAAAAATATTTTTAAAAGCAAAAAAATGTACAAAACGAATAAACATAAGAAAAAAAATTATCAAAATTTCTCATATTTCTAGTGTACATAGCAAAGTAATTTCTTAATTATATGGACTGATAAAAATTGTGAATAAATTGCATATCAAAACTTGGTTAAAAATGTTATAAAAGATAATGTTTTTTTCAACAATCACTCTAAAAAAGAATACAAAAGTTGCAAAGAAATTTTATATAAAATTTTTTTTATTTTCAGTTTTTTTTAAAAGATTTAGTTAAAAGATGGTAACTGCTGTGGTTTGTCTAAAAAAATTACTGTCAGTTTGTCTAAAAAAATTACTTTATGTGTGGATAAACAAGGTGTGCAACTGCACGCGGTTCCCGGGAAGGCTTGATGTAGATACAGTGAACTATTTTCATTGCAATTTGAGTTAAATCTAATACTTTCTTATAAAATGCATTTGTTTTTGACATTAGTTTAACAATTTTTTTATTTTTCTATGGAAATTCAAGTTGATGTGGTTTCACTGTTTGTATCTGTTTAATTTTCAATGTTATATACTAAACTAAGTGCATTTAAGGTTGTAGTCTTAACTGTAAAAAATGTATTTGTCTGTATTAAAAAGTTGTATTATGCAATTTTTACCAGTTTTTGACCCCTCTCCCTCCCCTCTCCCTCACCTCCTCTCTCTCCCTCATTGTCACAACTTTGTAACTATTTTTCTCTCAATTGTTTTTATCTCAATTGTTTTTAAACCTGTTCTTCAACCCTTTAACTCGAAAACATCCGGAGACATGGTAGTTTGAACTTAGTATTTAATAGAGTGTTTTAACACATATCTTTTATTAGCAATTATCTATAGTTGTGTTAAATAAGCAAAAATAATATTTGGTTGCCTTAAATTAGCAAAAATACTCCCTATTATGTAACCTAACATATATGATTCCTAACACAAAGAGCAATTATTTAAAGGTTCCTAACAAAAAGAATAATAGTTTTAAGGTCCTTAATGAAAAAAGTATATCCTACATATTTATCTGATGACATAAAAAATGTTGTTTTTTGAATACAAATATTTGGCAGTCTAGCAGGAAATTAATAAAACTAAAAAATTCAAAAGAAAAAAAAAATGAAGTAAAATAAAATAAAAAAGCTATAAACATAAAAAAATGAAATTAAATCTATTTAAGATATAAGTGATAGGAAGGTAAATAAATGAAGCTGAAAAGTTAAACGAAATCATCCAGTGCAACATTTCACTTTTCAAATTGAAAAGTGTTATAAATGAGCGTACTTATGCACTCTCTCAACAATATGGTGTTGCTCGCACTTGTAAAAAGTTTTTATTTATTTTATACCATTGAACTAAAATTTATCTACAAAAATGACATTGTTTTGTTGATAAATATTTGAAATTGTTATCTACTAGACAATACAATTGAAGAAAAGTTCTTTAGACATTTTTTTAAAATCTGGTTCTTCTTGATCTTGCTTTGTATTTCTCTTTTGTTTCAATCCTTTGTTATTGAATTGATCTATTAACATATTAATATTACAATGTTAATACTTAAGTAACCAATAGTAGTTTTAGTTTTTTTATTTATTTATATATTTATTTGTTTAAACTATTTAAACTATTCTATGTAACATAAAAAATTCTTCATTTGATTCTTAAATGCATTATTTATACATAACAATTTTAAAAAACATTTTTAAGAAATAAAATTTATGACATTATCCATAACAAAATTAAAAAACGTTTCATGTAATAAACATTTAATGTTTTCAATTTAAGATTTTAATTTGATTTCATTAAAATGATAGATAAAAAGTTTTTGTTTAAATGATATAACTTTTAAAACTTATTAAGTTTGTTATAATTGTTTTGAACAAACAACTTAATGACATTACATTTTTAATTTAATTAAAAGACAATGAAAAGTTTTAGGGTTTCTTGTTGGTGTTGTGTTAAATTTCTATTTTTAAGTTAAAACATTCCATTCATTGTTTGCGCAAAAAAGAAAAATGCTTTCCAATTTAAACATATCATTTTGTTAATATTTAAAGAACCAGTTTTTTTTAATTAGAGTTAAAAATGCTGGTTTTTTAAATATTTACAGAATGATTAACAAAGACTTTTTTTTAATGAAGTACTTATACTAGTCATTTTAACTAGTTTTTTGAGGGTTGGTATTTGACAATACCGACCTAACTGTCAACCTTAAAGTGTTTGAGGTCGTTAAAAAATTGCTGACCTCATTTCTATGTTTTCTATGTGT